ATAACTGTATGTCTGTATTGAAACTAATGGAGCTATCAGCTGTACTTTCCATCATGGAGATTATTATATACTGTTAAAACATTTACAGACACTACTGGAGCTCTTGTTGCCTTTGAGAGCTGTCATTCTATCGTACAGAGTTGAAAAATTAGTCTGGTGTGTAATCTTCCTCTTAGATACTCACATGCTCATACCATGGGAAATGTTGACAAAAACTTGCAGACTGAAGTGTTTTCAGTGGAGAATGTTCTTTGCAATGACTGTCTTTCCCTGTATCAAGGCAAGACTAGGGTGTGGGTAAAGTCAAATTGCATGGGACAGCTGAAAAGCACTGGAGGTACAAATACTGGCAAACAGGCCCACAGTTTAAGGGTACTGGATTTCTAGATAAGTCAGAAGAATTCAGAGAACATATGAACGCTGGACATTCGTATTACCATTGGCGTTAAATACTTTGATACTATCAGTGCTGAAATAATAGCACTCTGAATATTTGCTCTTCTTGGCTGATCTTAGGCTTACTATGCCTGGTAGCACGAAAAATGTGCTTAAAAATAGCTTTAGAATAGAATTGGACAGTGAAAATGATATTGTTTTTAACAATTTGGGTTCAATTTTTCAGAAATATATCAACAAAAAATAAAATGACAGACATAGATTGAAGCAGTGTGATTGTTCAATTCAAAGGTACCTCTGACAGTGGGTTTCATTTAGGTAGAACACTCAGTTTAAGGCTGATAAAATGAATTTGAAACCAAATGAAAGGAAACTGTCACCAAGTTGAACTTCGATTACTTTCTGGAGATTTTCAGTACCTAAAACTAAGACACTAATTTAATCTTCCCAAATAGATCTTCACCAAAAAAAAGAAGTGTTTTTTATTCTGAAGTCGAGGTGGGTTGCTAGAAAACACGAAGCTTGAAAATCTTGTTATAGAACTGCTGAAGTCAAAGACGGGCAGGAAGCAGCATTTTCAGGAAACCAGGAGCTTATCACCTGCATGTCTTTCAGCTGAACAAAATGAAACTGGAACAGAGGCTCTTTGTTCACAGACTCGCATGTGATTGCGCATAACCATACACTGCATGGTAGATCTGTGAGTACAAGACCAACAGTACATATAAGTATGTATGGCTTGGGCTGATTTCCTGTATTTGTGTTACTTGTGATTTGAATCCCTATGTAAATGAACTCATCTGAATCCCATGTTCATTTGTTAATTAGGGATTCAGAAGCAGAGATGTTCAGAATTTGTCCACTGGGCTGTGAAATGGTGTTAAGGGAATGCTTGCCTCATACCACGTAATTTTTGAGTGAATGGACTGGGATTTGTTGCATTAGTTTTGCGTTTGCTTTGTTGAACATAACTGTAATTCATGCACTGATAAATAAGCTCTCTCAAATAACTTCTTAGGACTAGTAAAGACTTCAGTTAGTAACTCCTTCTCTTACCAAATTCATGTAGTTTCTGTCGTTATCTGTGTCCTTCAAAACACGCACTACGTTTCTTTGTAGGTGACTGTGTAGATGACTGTGTGCAATGCAGACTACTAGGCCTTTTTTTCACCCTCCATATTGTGCATTTATCTGTCAATCTGAAAAGCATAATAAGAACTGCGCACCAGATTTTCTGCATGACCTGAACTGGGTGGTTGAAGCAGGTGAGATCTTCTTTAGCTTCTTCTGCTGCCAAGTCAGTGCGTACTATAATGTTTTGGGATGGCTGGACATTTGCCTTCTTTCCAGTTTTGTGTGTCTGTGTTTAAGGAAACTGCAGGCTCTGTGCCTGCTTCTGATAAGTGTCAGGAGCCCTGGAAGATGGAGGTTCTTGTCTCTCTTGCCCTTTCTTAATGCTGAATACAATCTGCTCTGGGACAAGATCGACTAGAATGCAAACAAGATAAGGAAAAATTACCTTTCTGTCCTTTAGTTTTATCTGTTGGAGAGAAGGTCATATGGATAGTGGGTAATAGTGTTAAACATAAAGCTTTTTGTAAAGTGTAGAAATGATGTATTGGCATTTTGACAAATGAGCAGACTTCTGAGGGCTCTGTTAATGCTCTTATGACACAAATCAGAATATTAAATCAGAAATTTTAAAATATTAGTAACTTTTCTTATTTAAAATAAATAGAATCTTTTTCCCCTTATACACAAGATGCAAAATAAATGAAATCGCTGTTTTCACTTTCTGTTTTTCCTAATTGTGTTGTATGTTTGCTTTCTTCTTGATATATCTTTCCTATTCCTGTTAGTTTCTATGTAAATTTTTCTTACTATATGGGAGTAGGAACTGCAGGGAAGGTTGCAAGTTTTCTTTTGAAGCGGTTATCTTTGTCTTTGCAAAGTCACTGTAGGTAGGATGAGTTGAAAGTGAGGGAGCAAGAGTAGGACCCGTGAGACCTGACTTCTCTTTTATCATTTCACCATTTGTCTCCCAGAAACCTGGAAGAAGCTGCTCCACAGAACTGGGAAAGCTCAGCTTTTCCACTTGTAAGTTGGAGATAATTAATCTTACTGCCCTTACAAAATGTGCCAGTGTTTAAGAAGTAATTATACTTCTTTCAATTTAAGGGACTTGCTACTGCATAGTATATGCAATGCAAATTAAGAGATGAAGCAGTTACCTATGTGGTGTATGGCAGACTATAGGATACACTTAAGATTATTATATTACACTTTTATTATATATCATATTCTCAGCAATACTGTTTTTTCTTTGTGTAAGAAAGAGTGATGGAAAACATAAGAACACAGGAGTGATCTGTAGATATAAGTGTACTGCAATTTATTCTGGTGCTGGCACTGAATACAGGAGCAGACTTAAAAGTGGAGTTTCCAGGAAAAAAAAAACATTATTGTTGTCCACTTTTGTAAGGAGACCTGATCTGATGATTTGGACTGTATGACAGAACCTAAATTTGGTTTCCTGTTTCCTGGCAGATTTCCTGTGCTTCCTTAAAGAAGTCACTTTTCTCCGTGTAGGTAGAATTGTTCTTTCCTCCAGTACATTCAGCTTAACCCAGAAATCCAGTTGGGCTCTGGTACTGCAGTGTCAGGTCCGCAGAAGTGTGGGTAGATGCATGGGACTTTGATGCTTCCAGGAATGAGTAAATAAATGAGCCAAGAATGTAGAGTGTCTGTGCCTGTGATTGGAAGTATTGGAAGAAAACAGATGGGGTGAGGGAAGCTTTTAGGTGAAGAGTACAATTTTGACTCTTCATTCAAAAATCTCTGGTAAACTGTCTTATATGCAGTTCTCATGGCCATTGCCTTGATATGGGAAGTTGCATTTACAAGATCAGTTTAAGAAGATTCATGCCATGGAACTTTTCATGTCTGTTGTTTGTGGTGTTTTTTTTTTTGTTTTGCCTTGTTTTGTTTGTTTTTTGAGAAAGAAGTGTATTTAATTCTGAGAAAGCATATAGAGAAAAATAAAATTTATTTCCTAAAATCAAACAAACAAACAAAAAAAAAAACAAAAAAACCAAAAACAAAAAAACTGTTCTTCAAATTACAGGTTTGAGGTTGATAAATACTTCACTAATTAGTACCCCTGTTTGAGCATGGTTGTAGTGAACAACTTCTACACTAAATATTAGTTAAATGTTATTTAAAAGTGCAGCTGTACTGGATATTAAATAATGAGAATGCTGAAAGAGCTTTAACTGCAGTAGTGCTTCTAATTACCACACTGTGCCATGTTATATTACATCACGTGCCATTATTCACCGTATCTTTTTTTGTCAGTTATGACTCATCATTTTGCGAATTACAAATCTTTTATAGGAAGGTAATTCACACATGGACATAGTGATAACATGATAGAGTGATTACCTTTCTTCTCATTCATTGATCTTTCAAACTTTTGCATTTAGCAGTATTAATCATGTTTATTATCTGAGTGTTGTCATAAAAATGTAGAAAATTTCTGTTATTTTCATTTTCAATTTAAGTGCCTTTTGCTTTCTACCACGGTCTCCTTTAATCACAGTAATCTGTTACTTATTCTAATCGAAATTCTTGCTCATAAAATCAAAATAAAATCAATGCACATCAATTACAATCAATTATATATTTTCATAACAATCTATCTAATTGAAAACATGGGATATAGCTAGGAAAGGAGTTTATCTGGAATAGCTTTTTACTCTAAAACTGTTCAGCCTGACTTTTAAGGTGGTTTGCTTTGTGGACCAGGTGTGCGTTTCGGAATTCACTCTCATGGTCTACTTAACTGCTCTTTAAAAGGAGCTTGTTGTTATTCACGTGTTTAAATGTAATACTAAAGAAAACTACCGTCTGTAAAATTGCTGCAAAACACAGCATCTTCAGAAGACCAAACAGATATTCCTGGCCAAACAGATGAGTGTTCAGTGTGCTATATTTTTGTTGTTGTTGTTCTGATCATAATTGCTGCGCGTTATAAGTGTCTGAACTCGACATCTTGAATCCTGATAGTTTCCAAGCCCTGCCTAATGCCTGACTTTGCTAACCCAGCAAAGCATCTGTGGGTCAAGCCCAGCAGAGGAGCAAAAACTACTAAAGCTTACAGATAACATGGCAGGGATAAATTGCTGTAACCTGTTCAGGTCATTGAGCTAAAAGTTAGGATGGCTGTAACCACTGAAGGAGTGACTAGTGGAGCCACTCTCTGGTTAGTATTAACAACACTGATAGACATCTGTTAGTCCCTAGCAGGCCTGATTCCCTCTGACAGGAGATTGTGATCCAGTGTCTGATGCTTACTTTGATAATTTTTTCCTTAAACGTTTAGCTTTTTCTCTTTCAGACGCTGCTGGTATGAAAGTAGGAGATACTGAATTTTCTTAATCATGTTTTTTGCCTAATTCATATTTCTTAATCTATTTTTTTCAAGTGCTGTGTTTGTGCTAAGCACATAAGTGTGGTAAAGAGTATTAGTTTGTCACTAGCAAAGTAGAGTGCTTTTTTAAAAAGAGTATATGCCATTTGTGGTACCTTTATATCCTGTTTTGCAGGTGGGAGTGAATCTTCCTGGGATAAAGACAAGCTTCAGTCTCCCATTACAACAGGATCACAGCACAGCATTGGTCATCCCACCCTGTCAGGACAGTCGAGCCTTGGAAGTGCACACCCACTCAGTCCTCTTCAGCAGAACCACCTGCTTACCAACAGTATGTACTGGACCCTCATGGGGAGAAAATAATAAGTTATATGGAGTCCCTGCTTGGAGGCAGGCTTTACTCAACTGAGATACAGCCATTACCTTTAAATGGCCATCTGTTGTTGGGTAGGGGCTGTGAGTTCCAGTCAGCATTGCTGTGGCCTAAAAACAAGTACAGTTGCTTAAAATATTAGTGAGTTCTCTTCCAACTGAAAATGCTGCTCACCAAGTGAATATGAGAGAGCAAAGAATGGGTGGAAAATGACTAGTGAAAAGTGTGTAGAAGCAAATTCCTCTTCTTTATCTTTCCTTGTAACTACCGGGTTTATACGAAGTCATCACTTACATCCAGCTGTTCAAAAGAACTGGAATAGAATGATACAGTTGAGGTTTGGTTTTGGAATTTTCAATTCACTATAATCCTCTCTTCTTCCCTTCCTTTAGGAAGGGGGCAGGTGAGAAGTTAGAGATCACCTCTTCTGTTAGACCCAAAGGGGAGGGACTGTGCAGTTATTCCAAGAAAGCAGTTCCGAAAACAACAGATAATAGTATTTAAAAAGATAGTGAAGAGTAAAATCAATTGTAAAAGATCGTGATGGATGAAGAATTAAAATTTCATTATCTGTGAACCCTTATTATCTGTTTCATTTCTTCGTCCTCAGTTTTGAAAGTTGACTTTTGGTGTTTGTTTCAGTGGACAAGTGACATTTCTGACTCCTTATGAAATTTTTGGAGCAGATACTTTCTTGCTACCCAAGTGGCACCACAAACTTCAAAAAATCAGGATTATCTAAAAGGGTCCTAAAATAAATGATTGCTTTGTTCATGGCAGGGTTAGAGCCTGAGCATCTGGTTAAATGTCAGTAGTTAAGAATCACCAAGTTACAGGACTAACATACACTGTGGTTTATGCTATCATTTATATTCTTACATAATTGAGTATCCGTACGTGTTTTGCATTAGGGACAATGTTCTTTACTGTTCAGAAAACTTTCAGGTTATTTTCCAATAGATATTGTAGTAGGCAAATGTCTATAGGTTGTTAAAGAGCTTATTGAATGTCAGACATTATGTCCAATGATTTGCAAGCTATATTTTCTTCATAGTCTTCCGAAATGTTTGACGGATTGTGTCTTAAAACTGGTGATATGCTGTTAAATTCTGTTTGTAGTTTGCATTTAGTTTGCATGTCAATTGGACTTTAAGTAGACATACAACTCAATGTGACCAGATGGTGTCTGGGAGTTTTGGAGCTCTGTGGAGTATGAGGAGAGATTATTGGGCTGTTAAAGGAGATGTGCAAGGGAACCAAGGCTTATGGATGTAAGCAGTGAAGGTCAGTATGGTTAAAGTGAAGGGAGATGTATGTGTCATCATTAATATTGGCATGGATCATCTTATAAATAAATTATAGTGAATCTTAAGACGTTTAGTTGGTCATGATTTGCTCTCATCCCATAGTCATGTTCACAGCCCTATATGGTAGTACAGTGGTCCTGTAGTCCATTCTACAGCTTTCTTGAGTCAGGGAGTAGTCCTAATACAGAAGACTAGTCTCAGATTGCTGCTTAGGTAAATTAAGTTAGAGGACTTCTTAAAATCATTAATGAATATTCTTCACTTGTATTGGGAAAACATGCAGGTATTTGCATATTTTTGTTTTTTCGCTTTGTTGACATCAATAAAAATGTCTCTGACTTGTGTGCTAGTATATATTAATTTTGCTAATATTGCATTGCTTTTACATCTGTGTGCTTCTTGGCCCAGTGCAAACTGTACAGCCTTTTCTAGAATGCAGAATTATTCCCTGCATAACCTCAAATTTAATAACACACAATAGAATTGAGTCCAGCTAGCCAATATTCCAGTAAAATATAGACTTTAAAAATTAAGGGATATAAGATGGGGGATTGACACACATAACTTGCACGTGCTCTCTTTTAGGGATAGACCTGCCGTTCATGATGATGCCCCACCCTCTGCTACCTGTCAGCCTACCTCCCGCTTCGGTTGCAATGGCAATGAATCAGATGAACCACCTCAATACAATAGCTAACATGGCTGCAGCAGCCCAAATGCACAGTCCTCTTTCCAGGGCAGGGGCCTCTGTTATAAAGGTAAGAGTCATCTATGAAACGAGATTTCTGGGGCTAACAAAAACGTTTACAGTGACCTTTTAAGAAAATCTAAAGGCAGTGAGCTTTTACTACATATAGTACACCACAGCTTATCTTCCTGGTTGTGCTTCTGTTTGAGGAAAGTACAAGCAAGAAGTTAAATAAGATGTTCTGCTTCATCTACAAATATGTAATGTAATTACAGATCCTAATACAATTGTTAGAATAGAGCTAATCTGTATCAGAACCATAAAAATTACTCCTTATCAGGGTGCCTGTACACTTGTTAACTAAGTGGGAAACATATCTGATGTTCAACTACGTTTTAGTTAATGCAAGTCATTAAATTGTTAGAAATTGTTGGAAATTAATTGAGATTCTGTTTGTTTCAGTTACTAACCTTCAACCGTTCAGGAGACCTCTTGAGGTAACTGTAACTTAACTACAACTGTAAAATATTGGTAGCAGCAAGTAGACTGCATGCGCTTTGTCTGTAGTCTAAATGCTACCAGTAAGTCAAAATAAAGATGAGAATTTTGTTTGTAAACAATGCTTGTACTTCATAACATATACTACAGGTTTTGCAAATAGTTAGATTTTAGGGGGACTCTTTAGCAAGCCCTAGCTGATGTTAGTTACTCATTTACAGCAGTTTTTCCCCAACAATTGCAACAGGGGATATGCAATAAGTCCACAGCAACAGCAGGTCTCACCAGAATTCTAGTGGGAATTATTTCCTGTACATGATGTAGAGGAAAATACACCAGTAGCCAGTGTGATAGAGGTAGTGCATGCATTCATTGTGGTGTAACTCTCACCTGTCAAGTGATGCTGCATCTTTCATTTCTTCCAAGTGCTGAGACTGTATGTGAATTTTATTAGAGTGTGAGGCTGCCTTTGTCCTTTCCTTCCATTACGAACAATCATCTAGCTCTGAATGACTATCAATTAAGATGAAGTCCTTGTATGAAATGAAACTTGTAAAAGGGTTGCTGCTGTTATCTATCAATAATAATACTTTTATTATATGACAACATTGTTTAAGTTCATATTAGAAGTACAAAAAATAACTAGTTTTAGATAGACTGCAATTATGGCACCATGACATTACTTAAAATGGGAAAACTGAATATATTGAGTGTGTATCTATTTCTACCCTTTGATGACTAAAATTCCACTTAGTCTGTTTTCTATAGGTGTGAGAATCAGCTGCTCACTCTATAAAAGTTTTGAATGAAGTCATTATGCTTTTTATATCACGTTTGCCATTTAGAAATAAGCTGTTCTACCAAAATATGCGTGATCAGCAAAGTTAACATTTAGTGCTCCAGAAAGAAATGTCATAACTATGAAACTTGATTTCCTCCTGACAGGGATGCTGTAAATTAGGCAGGCACAACGGTCAGGCTCACAAAACCTTCTTAGCCATCTATAATGTGATCTGATGTGATTATGGCAGCACCCGCTAGCAGTGCTGTAAGTATGGTTCTGACAGTATCCTCTTATAAATCCAAGCTTTCAGGGGTTTACTGCTCATCTGAAAGTGCTTGCTCCATTTGAAACTTGGCTGAAGTAGTTCTGAAGAATCTGCATGAATGAGGGTGTAGTATGAAGGAGGAAAAAAAAGCAGCATTGATTTTACCACCCTCTTTCTTCTTCCTCTTGTGTCTACACTCCTGTTTGATCATTTTCTCTAGAGCTGTACTTGAGATGGATGAACTTTGCAATCCAAGAGTTTCTGCACTAGCTGTAAAATGCTTGGCCAGCCAGCCTGGTGTTAAGGACCAGTCTGAGCTGGAACTTAGCAGAAAGAAGCTTGATTCATGGAGTAGGTTGGAAAAAAAAATAAAAATAAATGTGGTAGTTTACTGTCATCCTATAATGTTTCTCCTCCACCTCAGCGGAATCTACTCAGTGACCGTATTTTTATATCCTCAGAAGTGAAGTTTGGATTAGCCCTTTGTACAAAATAGAGAATTTGTCACTGAAGTTTACAGAACAGCTCAACTTTGGAGAGCTGTAACTACATAATTTGAAGAATTTTATTTTACATTTTACATCAGAAGGGGCTTATTTAACCAAGAAACATAAAAACTTAGATAATTTCAAACAGAAAGTGGGGGTCTGGAAAAAGAGAGATGCTAGATAGACCTGCATTCATCAAGAGCTAAATGGAATCTACTCAGGTAGATTTCGGGTGTCTGAAAGAATGTCTGACAGGAGACTAGCAAGGGGAAAGAAATCCTGGAGAAGAGCCTGCTAGTCCTCGGGGGACTGAAATGGAAATGTAGGATGAGTTTGGCTTGTCTTGAAATAATAACTCACTGCTTGGAGACATGCTGGCCTGTTCTTGCTATGTGTGGGATTTGAGGCATACACTAGAAAAGGAGAAATACAAATTTCATTCTCAGAGTGATATCAGATGGTGTTGTGAACTTGTAATGAAGGTTGGCAAGAGTCAAACCTCTGGAGCAGTTCCTTGGTGAGCTGTGATAGGGATCCCATTGAGCTCTTTCTGTGGGTAAGCAATTAGGAGGTAGCTGGTTGCATGCAGCAGAGCTGGGATGACAGACATGGGCTGACAGGGAAGCAAGGACCTGGCATGGGTCATATCCAATGAGGTGTCCTCTTTCTAGAGACCTGCTGGTCTGCTTCTCACTTCCAGAAGTGTGGCTAAAGGTAGGAATGCAGTCTGGAAAAAAGAAAATGCAAAACTTTCATTTTCTTGGAGTTGGGAAAGTACAAGAGGGCTAGCAAGAGTCAAGTTTCTGGAGCTGTGTTGAGTCTTTATATGTTCACTCTAAGACCATTTCCCACAGTATCCTCTGAAATAAGACAGTAGGATAGCTTATGTTCAGGGTGGACTTCAAGTTGTGGGAACATATTCAAATTCAAATTAGGGGCCTTAAGCTTTTCCCTTATTTGTTAGGTAACAGAATATGACTGAGACTGGAATAATGAGGCAAAATTTTATCACAGAGGAGATTCAAGAAGCTCTTCTACCCTTTTACTCTGCTATTTCCTTGATTCTTTTACCCTACATCTTTTTTGTTTTATTTGTTCCTCTTGCTCTTGTCTCACTTATCCTTCTCCATCTTGTCCTTCTATCTCACTTCCTTCAGGCTCTACCTAAAAGATGTGCTTCTCCCGAGTAGGAGTATTTCTGCAAATTAGTTTCCTGTTGTTCATTTTTCTTTTGTCTCCTTTCCCTTGTGTTTGCCATTAGGCAGGTCCCAGTTAGGAATAACTGGCAGGTCTGTTGAATGCATTTGGAAAACCCAAGGAAAAAATGTTAAAATGGACATTTTTGGTGAAATGCAGTATTTTGCATTTTGTTACACAATTAACATCTGGATTTCTTTTGGTCTACTGATAAGCAGAACAAAGCATTATTTTTAACCTGTGATTTCTACATGATGTAGCAATTTTTGAATGTGTTTTTCTCTGTGTTCTCTTCTTCTGATTTTGTGGGACGCTTAAAGCATTTGTAAAGGATGTATATGACATCGTTTTAAATTCCCTAAAGACAATACAGATGGGTTGTGTAATTATTGCTGAGAGGTGCTATTTTCTATGTGCTGTACAACTGGCATTCATAATATTTACCTGACAGCCAGAAAAATGTGGCCATCTCAGAGTACTCGGGAACAATTCTTTTCAGTGTGAAAACATTTCCAGTTACAGAATTTATAACATTGTTAATTTCATATCTCTGCATTCAATTCATTCTGAATTGTTTATAGAATATTACAAGGTTTATAAACCAAAACTTTTGTAAAATTTATGGTACTTTTCTTTATTAGATTTATTCTGTCCCATTTCATATCAAGTGTTCATTGTTGGCAGTTTATTGCTGAAATGGTTTCTAGAGTACATTAGGGGAGTGATGTGTGAGATAGGGTAGTTTGCTTACTTCCTGTAAGACTAATTTTTATAACTGTATATGTAGAAAAGAAGTAAGTTTGCAGGATTGTATCTTTTTATTCACTGACAGAGAAGCTATTATGCTGGGAGATGTTTGGGTTCCTACAAATTATATCAAATAGCCTTTACCTCTTTCCTCCTGTGAAGGGAGGCAAGTCCCTATCACTGTGATGCTAAGAATGCCTTGCTTGTTAACACAAAGACAACTAGTTGCCAGTTTAAAGGATAAGCAGTGAACACTATTTTTAAACTGGCAAGTGGAAGAAAATGTAAGAATCAAGTACATCTCTTTTTTTGCAAAGCTAGCAAAGGAATATTGTCATGCCAAGCACATACTAGCTTTTAGTTCTGGCTCAGTTCTTTTTAGTATTGGCCTAAGCATTTGCATTTGTAGTTAATAACTAATATAACTATAACGTAGATGAGATACAGCATTACCATCATTAGTCTCCAGAGTGCCTTTCTTTCATTCAGTAGCAGCACTGGATGAAACAATTCATAGGAGGGATTGAAGTAGGAAGTTTCCACAACAAGGGTACGTCCAATTTTAGTCAATATTGTACTTTCAGATTCAAAGTAAAATGTAAAGGTAAAGTCTTAATACACCAGTGAAGATTGCCATAGCTTTCCCAGTGATTGGTAATTTAAGAAATGTTGAAGAAGGAAGCTCTTACTTGGCTGTTTACCAATACCATCTGATTAGCCGTGGTTCTCTGTTTGGCTGAGCAGCTGGCAATTAATGAATTATAGGAAGTAGTTACAAGGTAATGGAATTAGCAAGTGAACATCTGGTATTAAAAATCAGTAAACAGAAGAGTTTTTATTATTTCTTAAATTTGGTGTGAAAACAAATGCCAGTTGACTATGACTGAAGCAGCTATATATACACAGTGGGAAAAAAATAATGCATTTCAAATGGCAAAGTATATATTTTAAATGAATGATTTTCCAATACAGTGCAAAAGATGAATAGGATCCAGCTGGCTTTCAGACATACATATCTTATCTTAGTTTTTAGACCAGCTGTTTCCTTTGTTCATCTCCAATTCTTACAGCAGTGTGAGATGATATAACTA